TCACGCCCAACTCTAGTCCTTAAAAGGATAAGCGGTCGCTGCAAATATAATCCGGTCTAAAAGTCCGAAGTCGAATCCCACAGAGAACTAAGGCTTAGCTGTATCTGTTTAATATCACCAAGAAGACAAGAATGAAAATAAATAAACAGCTGAAAACTAACTATGCTTGAATTGTAAACAATTAGAATAAAGGTCTAAGGTAATGGTTTCCCCCGTTGTTGATTTCCTTGGTTGTATATTTCTTATAGATGTGACTTAGTTGCCTCTATCAATCATGAACTCTCCAGCTACCATAAATCTCTCTCAAACAATTATGATAATTTACTAGACGCACTCTCTCAAGCTACGCTAGCTAGATTCACATTACAGTTCACTTAGATTGCACCCGAGGTATCGTTATCTCTAATCCAACCTCTAAACCGTCAGTTATGACTCTCGCCTATACTCCGGGAGTGATATTGTTCAAACAACTACATAAATATGCACTCTCTCTCAAGCAGATACATAACAAATAGGAACGGCTAATTGAGGATCCTTTCAATTAACCACAATCAAAACATAGTTGAACAAATAGAGATTAAACTAATTCAAATCTATATTAATTATAACAACTAATTCATCCCCAACGGGTTTCACCAAAACCTTAGATTAGAAAAGTTAGCTACTCATGAAAATAACAAAATTACAAAAGAATTCATATTCAAAGGTAAAAGAACAAAGAAGAAGATTAAAGATTGATGCCCAATAATCCTTCTTGCCTCTTGCCCTTCCTTCTGATGTTTTTTCACTTCCAAAACTCATTCCCCCCTTTCTTGGCCGGCTTCCTTCGTTTAATATAGGGTTTTGGGATTAAAATCCCTTATTTTGCACTTTAGTCCCTGAAATTTACGCGTCCTGTCGCGGTCCTACCGCGGTTACGCCAGGACCACGGCCAGAGTGGCCTTCAGAATCTGCAGCAGTGTTCTGCCGCGTCAGGTCCGCAGTTGCAGTTTCAATCGCGTTTTTGACCCTGTTCCGTTTGGAATTTGGAAAAACGTAAAACATGAAAGTTGTAGCCCTTTGAGTTAGCTATCCAACCATATATTGTGGAGCCCAATTGGAGTTCTGAGCAAAAAGTTATGTGTATTTTACTAGACAGTGCGCAATATGTCTACTCGAGTCTTCGTTTTGTTGTTTTATCATCCGTTGATCCCCGAATACGATCCCATCTTAATTCCTTGGGCTTTTACTCAGACTTCAAAGCTCCAAATCACTTGAATTCATTCCATAACATCTATATATCTCGGAATCACTCCTACAAGGCATAAAATACACCGTTAGTGCAAAACACTAGCTATTAAAACGCAAACTCAATTAAAGTGCAGTAAATTAGAGTGTAATAAACGACTAAAATACGTAATTATAGCCTATCATCAGTGCTACCTTTTATCGAGTGATAGTAATCACTATTCTTTCTTCTTGAGATGTTTTGTGATTGTAAGATCTCCAATAACTATAAGGGATTATTATATATAGATCGGAATCAAGCTGAGTAACTTTTTTTCTCTATAAATATTTGCTATTGATTATTACTTCTTCACTCGTACATAGTCTTTTTCGTCATCAAAAAGGCAATCATTTGTTTTGACTAAAGAAGATTTAAACGTAATCAATCGTTTATCAAGTACTCTCCATTTTTATTTTTCTTTGGTTGAACAATCGGTTGTTCGAATAGTAATCCTCCCTAAAATGTCAGGAGAACTTCATAATGCATGCGCAATTGAACCCAAACGTATTCTTTCTTTCTTTTTTTGTAGTTCAATTTGGTTAAGTCTAAACTTAAGTGACATTAATTCACATTTTTAGAATAAAATTCATACGTTTAAAATCACCTGAAGTATAGAAATATTTAATGATAAATAAATTGTTTTAAACTCTGAAGAACAATCATAATTTTTGTTTTTCAAGTCGCCAAATTAGAACAATTTGTTTAGATTCATCCGTTTAACGATAAAGAACATGAACGATCTGGAATGTTACTTTTTAAATAATACGTAAATCAACATAAGATATTATCCTTAGCTTGAATTCAATTTGGATTTCACAAATTAACTTGGAAAATTATAAAATTGACGAAATGGCTTCCTGGCCACTTAAACTTGCATCAGTTTGTAAAGCTGATATATGAACTCTTGAGTTTCCCATTTGAACACCTTCGCTTGAAAAATGGCTACTAATAACACTTGTGATGGTGCGTGTTGTTCAATTGTTGCTGACATGGATTTAATTTAATATTTTATATAGCCACATCATCCATTCATTCGCATTTTGTTGACACCTGTATGTTCAAGGTCCCAATTTGTGGGCCCTGTCCTTTTCCAAAATTAATTTATTAAATTTCTATTTTTTCTTCTCTTTCCTTTCTTTTATTCTTCGCCTCCTGCATCTCATCTTCCTCAATGTCACTGCCCATCTGCATAGCGCCAGAACCATCAGCTTCCAGCACAACATCATCCTCCTTTTCATCATCAAACTCACTCTCTTCATCTTCTTCTTCGTCTTCATTCTCCTCAAACTCAACTGCTACACCAACATCATAATCAAGAGCTTCATCGCCATCATCGCGACCATCTAATTGTTAGTCAGTGATGAGTCGCCCAACCGACACCAACTTATCAAACACCTGGTCCGAAATAGGGTTTAACGGCTTTTCGATTTTCAATTTCTTTTCAGGGTTCTTAAAGTTGCCGTCTTTTAACACGGCCAATATCTCATCAGCAGGCCCACTCACAATGTACTAAAGGGTTGTCCACCAATTTGCTGCTGAATAAGGCTGAGCATGGCTTCATAAGCAGCCGTAGTTTCCATAGTTTTAGGCTGGTAAACTTCACCTTCCTCATCAATTGAATTGAGAACACTTTCTTCCTGAAGAAGTCGTCGTCTTTTGGGCTTAGAGGCAAGTGTGTCCAATTGCCGCTCCGATAATAGCGACTGTAAACATAAGCTCCGATTTTTCTTCCCATGATTATTGAAGTTTGGTGTTGATATCTTGGAAGGAGTTACGCGAGTGCGTTGGGGGTGTGCTAAGGTTCTGAGCTTTTTCCTTTGTTTGAGTTGTGTTCTATGTTTTGCTAGAAGTGGCTATGGTAGAATAGAAGGGGGAGGGGGAAAGGGGAGGTGGGAGTTTGGTAAGGAAGACGGGGGAAAGCAGAAGGGAAAGGGAAAAGTCTCCTTTTTCTTTTTCTTTTTCTTTTTTAATAAAAGTAATAACTATCCACGCGCCTTTGTAGCGTGATATGCACACAATATAGCCATGTCAGCTGCGCCGTTTTCACATAGGCATAGTCAACGGTCAAATGTGTTTATTACTAGTATTTATTGCATCAAGTGGGAGTGTTCAAATGGAAAAAGTGCAAGTTCATGTATCGGCTTTTAAAAATCCTACAAGTTTAAGTGGCCAGGAAGCCATTACGCCTATAAAATAGGAAGAATACTTTGATGTCTTCTAGTATTCTTAACAATACAACATACGAGTTAGAAAAACTTATTTGTAACTCCACGCTTAATCAAACTAAAATACAAGTTACGTACTATCACTCTCAGAACGACATGTATTTGCATGAGCAAACCTTGGCAAAAATTCTCCTACTTATTTTTTTCTTTCAATTCAAATAACGACATGACTATGACGTTCCATTGAGTGACTGGTAAAGTGGCAATAATTGTCCTTTTTTTCCTGGTGTATCTTGATTCTAAGATTTAGGTCACCTCAAATAACGACAAGGTAACTTTGTGTAATTGTTTGAATTAAAGGAGAGACTAGTGGAGATTTTTTGTGTTAAAGAGTAGGTTAATGTAATGGACCTTAAGACTCCCTACTTGATCATCCTTCCATTGGCTTCCCAGTATACCTATTCGTGCCAAAGAGACCTGCTTGAGGAATGAGATAAACACAAATGTAAGAAATAGAAGGGAAAAAAATATCAGTTTTGCGAGGTATTCCATATAATCATTGCTTATTAATTATCACAATGTTGCTTAACCTGGTCGCGTTACTTTTCGTTAACCTATTCTCAGCTTTTTATATCCGCGGTGCTTAACCTATTTGTAATGAGTTGTTGGAGACAATTAAATATATGTTTTTGATGTTGTAAATGGCGAATGATATGTTTGAAACGAAGACAAGTCAATATGAAATGTTCAATGCTTTTGTTAGTACAATTGTCTGAACAGTCGATTGCATCTGTATTCAGTTCTTTTCTTTTAATATTCAATATGAACTACTCCTACTGTTATGCACCATAAATACCAAAAAAAAAAAAAAATGAAGGCCCTATTTTGTGTATTCTTTCAAGTTTCAAGGGGCAGCTGAAGCATAACACAACTCTTTAATTGGATAAAATTGCAGTCTTATCTCATAAATCCCCCAGTTAATCAATAATCAACAGGGAGTAGAAAACATACACAGGCATGGTCAAACTGGGGATTTTGCAGCTGCAAACCATTATTATCTACATCCTCCAAATCAATCTGGCAAATTTAGCCTAAAATGGATAATCTGAGACCTATAAACCAGAAGACACCCTTAAATGGTCTTAATGCACTTTCAAGGGCAATACGAATGGTTTATTGAAGCATTTGTTAATATCCCAGATCAGAAGCATATTGAGGCAAGCTCAACCAACCAGTTTAAACACTTGGCAGTGTAGGATCTCAATCTTCCATATAATCCAAAGAAATCAAGTACGACGAAACAAATACCACAAAAGAAAACAGCAAGAGACCGCAAAAATTAACCCCCCTGGTTGTAGCTCAGCAAACATTGGACAACAATGGATTATCTTATCATTTTACAATGTTGTAAGGCGAAACATTGATGCAATATTTCCCCTGTGAGCCATAAACATGGGTTTCCCAGCATTTGCACAAACTTCCCAGTAAAAGCACAAATAACTGGATGACTAGTTATAACAGCAACCAGCTGCACAAAAAAACATAAATGAAGGCATTCTATACATATTCAAGCTGATAAAAAGGAGGTTCGTCGACTTTCTTTCTTTGTGATCTTGGTTTTACTCTCTACAAGAAATGTACAAATTCTCATGAAGAACCATTAAATGAATATGGACTAAAAGGACCAATCTGTGAAAATCAAGTGTTAAGGAAAAAATCAGAACAAACAACAGAAGCTTGATCACTAAATAGAAGTGAGAACTATATCAGGGGGAAAAACAGTGCAGAAACCAGTCGCTGTCACATGCTCCCAGCTCTGCCAGGAGTAGTTTTGGATGATTTGAACTTTGAAATGTCAACAAGATCCCCAAATAGTTTGTCTTCCGGCTTTGAGGGCTTTCCAGATGGTACATATGAAGGAGCTGAAACTGGATATGACGAATTATTTAGGACGCCATCATCCCTCACGGAGAGCCCAGACATTCTCTGGTTAAGAAATTGAGTGTTCTGTGGTTGGGCATAACCGTAGCCATAACCAGCCATTTGGTTGCCATACATTTGCTGAGGATACATATAACCCATCTGCCCAGATGGCATTTGTTGTGGAAACATACCCATCAATTGCCCACCTTGCATTGGTTGAGGTGACAAGCCTACCATTTGATTGCTTTGCATAGTCTGGTTCATCATGGCGGGATGTCCACCAGTGATCTGCTGTGCATACATACCATGGGCATATGAACCACCAGCTAATTGCTGGCTGTTAGCTGCCACCAGCTGATTATTTTGCATTGATAAAGCATCTGGACTACCAGACATTAGCTGATTGTTGTGCATTGGTAGAGCATGTGGACTGCCTGGCAACAACTGACTATTTTGCATTGGTTGAGCATGAGGATTCCCTACCATTTGGCCATTCTCAGCTGCCTCAGCTTCCCATGGAGGTGGTGGAAAAGAACTATTGCTTTGACCACCTAAATCAGGAATTGGACTAACACTACGTGAGTAACTATTCAGAAACTCAATGAGCAAGAGGGGGCATAGAATTCAGGCAATCCGTAAGACTTCATCAGAAACTGCAAGGGGTTTTACACGTGACAGATAACAGTATCAAACCTATGCCTCTATGCAAGCATAACTCTTATGAGTCTTCGCTATTACAAATAATCCCACCATTCCGATTTGTATGGCACTATTTCCTTATTAGTCCATTCCAAAAAGATTGGCACCTTTCTAAATTTGGAAACAATTTCACTTAAACTTCTCATTTTACCCACAGTAAGAAGTTCTAGATGTTATGTTTAAGACCACAACTTTCAAAAGTTTCAAAACCACATAAATATTATGGCAAGATTAAGACCACAAGTTTTAAAAGTTCTCATTTTTTTCTTAAGCTTTGTTACCAGTCAAATTATGCCAAACAAATCGGAACTTAGGGAGTAGTTGCTAGGTCTATTCAGATAATAGACAGACATATAACAGGGAGGACAAAATTTGATCTACAGGACACATTTCCAACTGTATACACAAAGAATGCAGGCAGAATGACAAAGAAATGCACCATAAACCGGAGAAGATGACTGCTGTTGCTGTGATATCTGTCCATTCCACGCCGCATTAGAGCCTTGTGTATAGGTTGTTCCAGGGGCACTTCCATTTGGGTACAAAGAGGGCTGGATAGAACTGAAACTCTGTTGTTGAAATTGAGGGGATGAAGGATGCGTCTGCCCAACTGAATATGGAGATTGTGAGTTGCCAGGTGGTGAAAACATGTCAACAAGAGCAAGGGCATTTTGCTGTGAAACAGGACTTGCAGGCTGAGGCCCTCCACCAACAGGAACAAGAGCCAGTGCATCCGCAGCCGTAGGCAAGCTAAAGTCATCTCCACTCAGAAGATCAATTTTCGGGCCAACATTTGCTGTTGTTGATGGACTGCTAGCTGATGGAGGAGCTGGAAGAAGCAACTGTGTCCCTAAGCTAGTACTTGAAGTAGATCTGAAAAGCATACCAAGTGACTTAGATGACAAAATTGCTTCACAGTTCACATCTGATTAAGACTCAAAAACTAAAATGAATACCCAGGATTCCCATCGTCTTCCCCCTTTTCTTTTGGACTTGGGGGTTTGGGGGGGGGGGGGGGGTTAATTGAATGTACAATCACCTAGCACTGAATAGGAAACGCTTACTCGGTAATTCTTCATCACTGTTGTAATAGCAGACGACAAAGGACTTCTGAACCTTGATAAAATCCTAATCTAATTGATAGTAACTTTAAGGTCACTATTCGAGGCAATTAACAATTCAAGATATCAATCTAGAAAATCCATGTATACTTTTTTAAGCTATAAGCTTTCTCATATACTTATTCAAAACCAATCATCATTCATACATCAAAAAGAAACTAAAAATCAAGCATACTGACTGGGTTTCTCTTTTTTTTTTTTTTGGTTTGGGGGGGGGGGGGGGGGAGGGGGGGGAGGGGGGGGGGGGGGGGGGGGGGCGGGGGGGGGGGGGGGAGGTGGAATGTCCGGTTCGGACATACAGACGGAGGACGATATAGATAATAGTCACGACTAAAGAGAACACATTTACCCTTGGTCTGACTGTCTGTTGTCTCCAGTATCAATAAGAGGAGCATCAACATTTACAAGTGGTTGAGCTGAATCAGATTTTGGTTTTTCCACTTTAACAGAAGTTCCCGCAGCAATAGCTTCATGTTTGGCCAATACACGCTGCAACTCATCATTCAGCGCTAGCCCTTGACAAAGCAGTGATTCATCCCTGCATCAAGTGAATGTAAGGATCCAAAGGAATCACAACCAGATTGTGCATAATAAAGATTGGAAGAGCAGAGAGGAATGATTTGGAGAGAAAAATATCATGGTCAGTCCAGTACATTTGTAATGCTTGATCAACTATCGTTCTCCTAACTAAAGTACTAGAACTTTGACTGCAAAAATAACTGACAGCAGATGGCACTAAAAATGTTCAGCCATTAGTTTTATTCCCGGCAACGACTTACCCAAGTCTTATCAGATATTTACTTAACTGACATGATTTTTACTTCATATGTTTCACTAAGTTATAGTAGCTTTTTAAATCTTTATCCAAATAATAAGTGTTTGACTTTAGAGTTACATTCTATAGCATAACATTTGTTTCTCCCTTCATTAGCGGCTTTCTTCACAAACTCCCACAATTTGATTGTTTTTTGTGCAAAGTCCCATCAGGCCCTGGCGCTTTTCTACACTTTTGCCTTTGACGCTTACATTATCAAGAGGCCATGAAGTAATTGTTATCACATGCCTATTCCACCACTCCCACCAGTTGCAGTCGTGAAGTGCCTATCAAATTAGAGAATCCCAAAGATTATTGACACTACAAATTGTGTGATTATCTCACCTAAAAGCTTAAACTACTCCCTCCGTTTCATATTATATGAGGTAGTTTGACTCGGCACGGAGTTTAAGATAAAAGAAGAAGACTTTTGAAACTTGTGGTCTTAAAAGCTTAAGGGGTAAAAAGTTTGTGGGGCCATGACATTTGTGTGGCTATAAAAGCTTCTCATTAAGGGTAAATGAGTAAAATGAAAGAGTTTAAAGTTGAATTATTTCCAAATTTAGAAATGTGTCATCTGTTTTGGAACAGACTAAAAAGGAAAGTACTTCATTTAATATGAAACGGAGGGAGTATTGAAGAGCGCACACTTTTTTTACTTAATTAAGTCCTCAACACGTCCCATTAGGTGCGAAACCGATTCTTACTCATGAGCCAAGCACGTGAAAATTCTTTTTGATAATAGGTGGTGGTGAGACTCGAAACCGGGACCTTTGCCTGCTCTGATACCATGTTTCAGCGTGTGACCCATTTCACCTAAAAGTTTTAGCTTTTAGAGAGAGCACACTTTATTTACTAATTATTTCCTCAAGAAGCACCATGTATACCAAACTAATTATGACACATCTATGTCCTAGCAAGTGTGTTTTCCTAGTCCTTGTGACATTTCCTTCATAAGAGGATGATGTGGGCTAGTGGTAAATTATAGTGAGGGTATAATTAACAGTCAACATGCGATAGGGGTTTCTCTGCTTCCAAAACACCCAAATGGTTGATCCAACCTAACCAAGTGTGTTGTTTTATTTGGTTCATTTAACACAACTTTCTCAGAGTTGATTCTGAAGTTTTAGTTGTTTGGAGCATCTGTTGAGCCAATGGTATTCAGAAATCTAGTTCTTCTCCCTATCAGTTCCACTTCATCTATATGAATATTGTACCAACAACTAAAATTTTGACAAATCTATCAAGATATCTCGAGAAAGGCACTTAATGAGAAGTGGTCAAGAGTAAAACAAGGCCTTACGTAGTCGAGTTTACAAGGTGTACCACTCTTTGCTTGTAGGTGCGACACTGCTCCACCAAATCAACAATCACCTCTTGTTTCAGTCCCTGTAACCCGACAAGCAAATACATTCTCAGTGAACGAAGAACGTCAACTCAGCAAAAAAAAAACAGATAAAATTTCAACCAAAAATAAGAACAAAACCAAAGTTAGGAAAGTCAACCCCAAATACCCAGCACTCTACTTAGAGGTAAATATTTCTCTACAACTGGCCTGCCCGATTTGCATCGGAGTAAGAATATCTTAATTGTTGAATGATAACCTGAATAGATGATATAAACAAGACTCTACCTCTTTGTTTTCCGGATCTAATGCACTCAGCATTTCAGCAAGGACATCCATGATACCACGTGCATTCTGGATCTCTGTCAAGCTAGCAACAGAAAAAGAAGACAATGAACATTAACTACCAAAGCAAGCCTAGCAGACGAAAGATATGCAATAAAGATATCAGGTGTCATTCACCAGCAGCTGCAAATCATCTCCCCACCCCCCCACCCCCTTTTAGCAAACAGAAATGTCTCGTCCACCATAACAATATAATATGGGCGGGGGCATAACACATAAGTTTGTGTGAAGATTGGTATACAGATTGCAGATTCAGAAGTTTAGCTGCTAAGTCAACCTTAAAGGGAATCCAAAGAAGAAAGGAAGGTCTAAATAATTTGTATTTCTACTGCGGACCCGACGTGGGATCACTTCAGCGATCTCAGCACCGCATTGTAGGATTGGACAATAGACTCATAAAATCTTACCAGCAGACATTATAACAAATACAACATATTGATACTTGAAGGATAACATGAATGCGTTCAAAGCAGTCTAAACAAGTAACATAACATATTGCTAGAATTAAGAGAACTCATATTTCTAGAATTAAGAGTATATGTCTACAAATTTTGAATTTCTGGTGCAAAAGTGGCCCATTAGTTAGTTCAGATCAGTACATGGATTTCTTGGAGCTGTTAGGAAGAAGACTGTAGTAGGCTGATTTCTCTGTCCTTGTTATTCTGTACTATCTTGATACCATTCAATAAAATCTTTATCTTATCCAAAAAAAAAAAAGTAACATCATGTCTAGATATAATAATGCATCTCAGAAGAGAGATATCAACACAAATAATAGACAAAAATGTATCAAAAGATAAGTGCAAAAAGAAAAAAGAAAAGTAAGATGCAAGAATGGAAATTTATACATGTCCAAACCTTGTGGACAGAGTTACCTTACTTATACTAGTGGGAGTTAGCAAATACCCGTGAAATTGGTCAAGGTGCGCGCAAGTTGATCCATATACCGTGGTTATCGAATAAAAAAGAATGGAAATTTATATGTTGTTATTTCTATTTACTTCTGTACTCCTGTCATCTTCTCTTTTGCATTCTTGGATTTAGTTTTCTAAATATGTTGTATGATTTGCTATTAGTGCTTCTTCCATCTTTTCTTAGCCGAGAGTCTATCGGAAACAGCCTTTCGTAAGGTTGTGTACATCCTACCCTCCCCAGACCCCACTTGTGGGATTACACTGGGTTGTCGTTGTTGTTGTTGTTGTTGTTGTTGTTGTTGTTGTTATTTCTGTTTGCTTCTGAGTAGATTAATCTTGGATATGTAACCTGACATCTGGATGTCAACAAAATACATCAAAATGAAGAAAAACAGTATAATTGGAGTAGTTGGAAACTACTACTGATCCTATGAACCCCCCCAACTACTACTGATCCTATGAACCCCCCCAACCACTACTGATCCTATGAACCCATTAGTGATCACACAGAATCCTACACTATACCTGCTATGATCCTACCACTTCTCAGTTCAACCAGAGATTTAAATCGACTCAATGAACTTGGACGAGATCCTATAATCTTTGGCAGTTCAAACCAACATAGCACAAGAAGAAAGATATATGAATACCAGCAATCACTCCTAAGGTTATTCACTGTTATGTTTGGGCAATAAGATACTACAATTGCTAATAGAGAAAATTACTCCTAAAGTTCTCTTCAATTACATAGGTGATGCCTCAGAATGTAAAGGGTTTGCTGGAAGGTTGACAGCAGCAGGTGATACCAAAATAGATAAAACAGATACAGAGAACTATTCCATTGTGCATCTTCGGGACAATATGGCTGGAAAGAAACAAGGCTTGCTTTTAAGGGCAGAGAACTCACATTTCTAGAATTAAGAATAGTTGTTTACAAAATCTGTTCTTTTTGTGTAAAAATGGAACACTAGATAGTTTTAATCAAGTACATGGATTTCTTGGATCTGTTAGGAGGAAGGGTGGTAGTAGGCTGTTCCCTGTTGTTTTGTTTCTTTCCTGTACTTGGTACCATTTCAATAAATCTTTACCTTAACCCCAAAAAAGAATCTCTTCAGTTCTTTATTGCACTCTCATCAAATTGACAGGTTTCATTGACTTTAAACGTCTTGTTTTATCACATGCCTAAATTTACATTTGGTTGAGGCGTTGAGCTCAACCATCAAACTCTGTAAAGGCATGCACTATCAAATTACTCATCTATCAAGTCGCGCAGGGACAAGTAGGAGAAGATTCTCCTAGACTGGCTCTCCCTTCTCACTTCTCAACACTAACTTTACTAACCACACTTGCTGACAGCTCCGCAATAGGACAAGAAAAAAGAGAAAGAAATCATAGCAAAATGAATTAGAAGTGTAACTTCTTTCCAGAGTTAGAAATAAAGATTCACCTCAAGGTTGGATATTCAGCCTCTGCAGAAGACTCAGCTGCTTCCTGTCCGGATTCAGGATTCCGTAGATTCTGTGGGTATGAAGCCAGTGGATGTGTTTGGGGGGGTGTGAACACTGGGGCTGATCTCTCAGATCTCTGAGGGAATACAGCTCCAATGCGCTGAAATGTAAAGCAATATGTTTAAAACTCCGTTTTGAGAAGGAAAGGTGATGCTAAAGGAATGACATGATATGACTAACTGTGAATGAACAAACTACATGTAGCGGAAGCTGGAAGTTTGGTTCAAAAAGCATCTGTATTGGAATTTTAGCGACCATTGTACTGTTTGGAGATATGCAGTCCCCAACAACTTCTATGCTGCAACTGGGCCCTATATCAATTAGTTGCTGATGGGGTGATATTCTAGAAAACTAAACTATCATACTCATCAAAAGACCCAGTTACTTTTCCAAATTGTTTTAAGACCTAGTAATGACATGAACTATTATCAAATAGATGCAGATACACAAACTAAAACCAGTAAGAAGAATTACCAGCAACTCCTGGTATGCTCCATAAAATTGTGGGTATCTTGCCCTTGGTCCTCCAAATGCTTCTTGCCATGTGTCTATCAAAATTAATACTTTTTCCTTGACATGCAAGTCGGGTTGCTGTTACAAAACAGTATATATAGATGCCTTAACTTTATGAAGAGAGAAAAACGTCCAAAAAAGACATAAGGGAGTTTGAGAGTCGGCAAGAAGTCACCTTCTTTTTTACAATTTTCACCATCTCATGAAGGAGATCTTTCTCAGCAACATGCATATGGACAATATCCCCACAATTCTTCACAATTGTTTCCAACAGCTGAAAAATGGAAACTCAAATTATCTAATGTCCAGTCAACTTTTTGCTTTGATAGGCTGGAGTACTGACTTCTGAGCATAAAAGAAGGTTGATTTCGGTAATCCTTTATGGTTTTAGAATCTTCTTTCTTTATTGTTTTATAGATCTTTAGAATCATAAAAAGATAACATGAAATTTCAGACTCTCATAAAGGTCACAGTGCTAAAGAAGCAAAAAAGCCTCACGAAGCATGAAGATATGGAAAACCATTCTCATTTGTATATTCCGGACCACATGGCTGGAAAAAAATAATGCTTACTTTGAAGGAAAGAGAAGCCATATATAAGATAAAAAGCAAACTCTCATAGTTCTGAGCCCAGCTCCAACAACTTCTTCGTGAGGAAAGGTACTTCTTTTGGTTTGAATAGGGGGTTGCCCTTTATTTGGTTGAAGTAGCCATGACTTTGGTCGTAGTCAGTTTAAACCCATAAACCCAGGTCCACTTACTTGTAATTTTGGTGTAAAAGTAGCACATTAGAGAGTATGGATCAATATCTGGGTTTTTTGTATTTGCTGGGTGGGAACATATAGCTTAGTTGTTTTTCTATAACACATATAGCTTAGTTTTTGTTTGGCTGGTTGATTAGTCCTATACTGCTTTTGCACCATCTTGGTTCTTATTTAATAAAAACCTTACCTCATCAAAAAAAAAAAAGGTCATACTGCTAATGAGGGGACATCTAGGCAACTAAAGACTTTTAAAGGTTAAAGCTTGATAGAGTAAAAATATGTGTCTATTTGAATGCCAAAACAAGCCTATCTTGAGATACTTCATAGAGTTTTTGCATGAATATTAATTGTTGTTTCCAACTCTTGCAAGGATTTATGAGAAGTAAACTAACAGAAAGGACAAGTTTGATGAATATTCCAAGCTGAAGATAAGAATGTGACTAACTGCTGCTGCTGATGGATTTAGACCGCTGCAGCGCCCTCAACTTCAAGAAGATAAATGACTTTCCAGGTAGTGAGTTAAAGAAAGAATGCCTGCTGCAGTGCATGGATGAGCTGGAATAGCCACTCTCGAGAGGCTTTTATACTGCTGCAGTGCCTCATATTTAAAGAAAAGTCGCATCATCGAGTGGTGAACTGGAAAGGAAGACCACTGCAAGCTGCAGCGCTCCTGACACAAGCTTGCCAGCCACTGCAGCGGCCTCAATCTCATAGTCAACGGCTGCAGCACTCGAGCAGAAAGTTCCGTACCAAGAGGATAACCCACTAAACCAAGCTGCTGCAGCGGTCAGTTTGGCATCCGCTCCAGAGCCCCTGGACGCTGATGCCAAAATTTGACTAGACACGATTCTAGTCAAATTTTGGGGGGTCTAAATAGAAAATCTCATCACCCTGGAAAGGGACTTACTTTGGAAAAGGGGCAGAGCCTAAAGATTGAAGCTTCACTCCTTCAACCCCAAGATCAACAGATTCCAAGAGGCAGATTTGTGAAACTTTTCATCAGATCTTTCTTTTTCTCATGACCTTTTCCATATCTGTTTATGTATTCTGTATTTGAACTCCACTACGGAGTAAATCTTTTTGTTGGGATATTGATGGATCTTAATGTTTTGAAGTAAGGTTTAATTAGTGTTGTCAAAAGGCTCATTTAAAGCACACTTTATCCCTGAAGCTCCGTGAAATCGCAAGTTGTGTGCTTCGCCTCACTTAGTGAGCCCTTTAGTATCAGCTAAGGTGCCAAGGAGTGCACCTCTTCACGGACTCTCTTTTTGAGTGCACAACACTAGACCATAAATATAGTTGAAAAATTCATATATTAATTGTTAAGAAAACCCTTTGCCGAACTTCTAGTTATTAGGAACAAGAAATTAGAGCTTTCTGGGGAAAAATTTAAGAACGAACTTTTCTCAAAAAAAGAATAGGAAATTCGAAATTTAGAATAAGAAAACTATCCCCTAAAAACTTTTGAAATTTGAAATGGTCTTTGAACTTGATTGACATGATTTTTACTTCATATATGTAACTTTATTTAGTTCTTTTTCATTCTTTTGCTCAAAAAAGTATCGTTTGTTCTATACCCTATAGTTACATTTTGCTGCATTACATTTCTATTCATTATTTTTTTCATAAGCACTTTGCACTATTGCCTACGCTTTAACTTTGTTTTGCGCTTAAATCCCCGACAAACTTGGCGTTTCTCACTTTTGACTACTCTGAGTTTAATCTTTTCATTCTTCATTCATGCTTGTATGAACTGACCTATCATTTACAAATCCATTAATGATTTTGGTAAGGGCATACCCTTAGTAATTAGGGTTTGCGATACTTAATTATGAAGCATGTTAATTCTAATTGAAAGAGGAAAACTAATCGAATTTCCATATGAATCTACCGCGTCATGATTTCCTTTTCCACTAGATCTTAACCAAAAGGGAACGACTGAACGAGTGAATGAATCTAATTGTGGTAGTTACAATAACCAATAGGAGTCTTCTATAATTCTATAAACCCAACCAATTGATAAAGCTTTCTTCATTTTAATGCATTACAAGAGTTCAACTAGATGCATAACCACAAGGAGTTACTTAACTAGATAACTCGTAATAGTTGAATGTAATTGAGAGAGGCATTCATATCAAAGGAAGCTTACTTTCAAACATCAAGTGAAATCAAGATCCCAACCTTGTCTTCTATCACATCAATTTTTCTCATCGTTCAAACTTCCCTTTCTAAGTATTTTACTGGCTTATTTAGTATAGTTCACTTAGTTGTTGGAAAAGAACTACCATAAATTGATTTCTCATTAAGCATACCTACTTTGTTCTGTAAAGAAGCCAATCACGTGGGATGACAATTTGACTTGTTATGAAAGAATCTAATCACCCAACCCAAAGCATAAAGGCAATGGGTGGAGTAGCTCAAGATCATTATAAACCCCGAAACCCTTACACATGCAATGAGGGACAAATACAACATTTTTTAACACTACATGGATTATATTTTGTGGCCTTTTTCCGGGGGGGAGGGGGGGGGTG